TATGTGAGATATAAAAGCAAATAAATAGCATTAAAACTGGCTCAGTTCAGTCAATTAGTAAAAAGAATCAAATAAATGATGGTCGATTGACTCTACACCTCGTGCAATTTCAACCAACTTAAAGCTCTCTGTCCTATCAGCAACAAATTCAGTCAAAGCAATATTTCAATACATTTCTAATATTGGCGTTTTTAGCGATACGTGACATAAAATATTTGATTTTTTAAATCGATACCCCAGGTTAAATTATGAGTTAAAAATGTAATCACTATTCTACACATTCTCTACTCATAACTAGAAACATTCTTTTTTTTTTTTAATTGTTGCGACAAATCTATGAGTACGCAGCCACTATTGAAAAGGCATTCTTAATGTAAATCGGGTAAAAACAATGCCTTTCTAAAGCTATTTTTGGAATTGGTACAGCCTTCAACACATAACAACAAAAAAAACTTGAAAGATTTAAACGTATATTTCCTTTTCTTTAAGCGGAATTTTAACATACTTACATTCGCGACGATTTCTCCTTTTCACAATTGTGAAAAGTGAACAGTTACATTTCTCTAATTCACTTTGCAACTGTTTTAGCTTGAAATCGAAATTCATCTACAAATCCGCTTAAACAATATTCCGAAAGGATTGACTTCAATCCCGAACGCACAAATATCGAGCATTTGACATTTTACCAGAGCTCTTATTGACACCGGAGAAATGCTGGCACTAGTGGATTTTTCCATATCATTTTGAAAGTGTCGCACCTAAATACAAGACAAAGCAGCGCTTACAAGAAAAGTGCCCGCATCTCTGCCGCACCAGCTCTACATTTCAAATAATGCAACTTTTAAGAAAAGTATTATTAGATAACATGGAAAATAGTTTACATAATTTAAAATTTGAAAGAAAATAATTCAGTGTGGTGAAGAATGCAATCGCATCAACTGATTTACATGAGAAATTCGTTTGGATGTTGTCAATATTGGGTTAATTTGAAAAATCACAAGCAAACGAAATAAATTTAAGTCCCCTCTAAATATCTTTATGAAGTAAATAAATGTTCGAACAAAAAATGTGTTTGGTTGTTAAATTTCAAAACTAAAGATGTGGATAAAACCATGTACTTTAAAATCGTAATATTTCCAATTTAAAATCAATTGATGCAATTCAAGATTTAGTTCTTATGGCTGTTCGACTCTTTTCCGTGACAATATGTGTATGTCTTGAATGCATGCATTCAAATGGCTCAAAATATGTTCGGATAACGAATGCAGTAAAACAGACGGCACTTGCCATTTTTGAGTATTATACAAACAGCTTCAAGCCAAATGGAATTGCAAAAGCATTCAATTTTGTATTAGTTGTAGTTTTGCGTTGCCCATTTTTTGCCCATTTTTCAAGTATTATCTGTTTACAGTCCATAAAATTCGACAATGCCGTCAAAGTGAATAGCGACTTGTGTAAATGGACATAAAGAGAGAAAGAGAGAGAGAGAGAGAGAGAGAGAGAGAGAGAGAGAGGAAGAGAATTGTTTGGAACAAAAAAATGTGGAAAAGAATTGAGACTAAAGGATTTGATGCGTCCAATGTCTCTCGTTGGACACATAACAAATTTGCTTGTAGTTCGTTTGGATTGCAACAAATCAGAAATCGTATGGTATTTATCAAATCTCGACTTTCTGTGAAATTACCGGTTGCACACATTTTACACATACACACGTGAATCGGTGATCTTATAGGAAGGGTAATTTGCTTGTTCGTTGAGTCGCATAGTCGAAGAAAGGGAAGATGCAAACATAAAATGTGTGTGTGTCGTATACAATATTTGATATGGTTTCGGTTTTTACTTTGGTGAATTTCGTTTTGTTCATTTTTGATGGCTGCACTTTGGCCGCTCTTGCATAGCATTTTTGGAGGTTTAATTTTTTTTTGCACTTTCGCCCATCTCGCTCGATTATCCCTACATACACACACAAATAAATTTTATTTTATATTTATCTTGATTATGTTATGCAGTGAAGCTTTGATACCAGAAAAATAGTAAAATGCAACGACGACATTGACGATGCAACGAACGTGGACAACGAAAAAAAAAGAGTGCAAAAGAGATATAGAAATAAAAAAGAGCGGTGACGAACCGGCCAAAAATTCGACCAGGCAAACCGTTTAATATGGGACGATAGCTGTTCAAGCGAACCGAAGCAGGACGAACAAAAAAAAATTATCCCACTCACTGTAATGGCGTGTTGTTCAGAGGTTTATGGGAAAAATTATACCGGAAAATCCTGCAACATCGTTGCACTGAACAATCAGACGGGGCGAAAAAAAATAATATGAAAAATACCGAGCGTGCGATGAAGAAAAAAGTTTCATCTGCTCACACAACACATATATATATATTTATAAACAGCACAAGTTAGAACAAATCGAGCTTGTCCGTAGAATATATGCCTGAAATATAAACTGAACTGATAACAATTTAAAATGTGCCCGTGTCTCGATCAAAAAACTGAGCAGCCAGAAGGACACACATGATGCTGAGGGAGAAAAAAACCGGCATTGGCCAAACCATTGGACAAACGAAACAAAATTAAATGTATTCCCGACAATGGCCTAACGTCAGAATGAGACATACGGACTATTGTCGCTACACAGATATGGCCTGTGCTGCTGCTATACTGTTGCTGATGCTACTACACGATGGCCGATGCATGATTGCATACACAGCAAAAATTATTTTGTTAAATAACGGCATTTAAGTAACCTTCAGCTTTATATGTCGAGACTTTAACTAGTTTGAACTTTTCATTGAACGATTGAACTTGCAATAAATCAGGATACTTCAGGTTGTACGTGTCGAACGAAAATATATTGGCTGGTAAATTTGTAACATTGCTTCTTGCTGTTTGCTACTTTGTCCCTTTCCCCCGTACACTCTCACACGCCCAGTTCACTTGCTCTCGCTTTCTGTGCTTCAGTTCGCATTTATGAGCGGAATCGAAAGAGTGAAAACACTCTTTTTTTTTACCCCCGCACTCACCACATGAACACAATCCGATCATACAAACTAAACACCCATTTATCATTATCATGCTCTCAACCGATGCTCTCGGTGACTATTCCAATCAAATTATTACTTTGGTTAAGCCCAAATAAATACAATATCTTAGAGCTGCAGGTGCTCATGTCAAAAATTGTGTTCAGCAAACAACACAATCACAATCATTACAACCATAACTTAATGTTATCTACATGAGGAGTGATTAAAATGCATGAGTGAAATTCAAATTGCATAACACATTTAGGATATATTCAGTTGTGACTTTTTTTTTCACTTTTATCAAGTCGTGGCAATTGATTTTATTTTTTTTGCTTTCCGTCATTTCAGTATCAGTGGTGGGTAGAATTTTTCGGCAGGGGGCATGTATTATGGTGGGAAGGATGGCTTGACCAGCAAAAAGCAAATCGAAAGAATTTTCATCTTGAAAAGTGAAAAAAAGGTCATCACTTTCTCGTCAAAAAACCGTATCGAAAGAATTCAAAAGTTCACTGAAGTGATCAACGTCATATGCGATAGGAAAATTTGAATTTCCTGACCAACACACGACAAAAAAAAAACAGTGTCGAGAATTTAATTTGTATCTTCGACAGGCCAACCAAATCGAACAATTTTTTTTTCGGAGCAGTGAATGAAAATGTTGTGCAATTGCAATTTTATTTTGTTGGCTTCGCGAAAATATCTCCAGTAGCTTATTAGTGTGCCAATATAAATATTAATGTGAATAGTTGATATTTTATTGGACGTTTTTGGTTTGTATGCAACTGTATGCATGGCAATGGCCATATAAAAAGCGATTATAAGTATGTTAATGGTAATTGCTAATTACATTAAATGATGCCCGAATAAACCGCAAAGCAAATTTGCATTGTATCATTTAACAAAATGTGTGGTGAACGAGGTCATACTGAGCAATTATCTATAAACAAAAAAAACCCTTTCGCCCCCTCCACCGTCCACCCCCAAAATATTTCGTATGCGTAAGCGTTCCTGTGTGCGTGCATGTGTAAATGTGTATACACGAAACATGCTGGCCATGGTAAGTGCAACGAAGCGTCAGTACAACGTGACATCCGATTCACACACAACAATGTTTAGTTGGCACGAGAGCTTGCAATGTACAGCAAAAGCACAAACATTTTCCAATGTACATGCCTAAAATGCATTTCAATAATAACTGTAATTTCTCATTGGCATACCAAAAACAGTGAAGTAACAATATGAAAGCTAACGCGCACCTGAAATCATTTCAACTCGTGTGTGTTTGGTTGTATGCTTGGTGCAACACAGTATCGTTACTCTCTTGTTATGGGTTTTGTTCGTTCATTCAGAGGCAATGTGAAAATGCGAAAGCAATTATTTTGTGGTTGTATTTACGACAAATGTACAAAATTTTAACATCATAGCATTCACCGAATGTTTGGAATTTGTGATTTTTCATTTGTACCGAGAGCACCGCCGTCCGATTCGACATTCGTAGAAGAGAGTCAATTTGAAAATCTCTGCATTGCAAGCCAAACAATAAATTTTAATCGTAAAACCAATTTTGAATGCTAAGAAATGAGCCCGAAAATATTGTTCATTTATTCAAACCGAACGATTTTACCAGCATTTTGAACAACGAACATGGGAATTGAAATATCTCTGGTTGACGGTGGACCAATTTAACAATCATCAACAACAACATTCAAAGCATTCGAAAATTATCATATCTCGAACACATTGCGATTGATTTCTTCTCTTCCGTGTGTGTGCCGAAGTGTACGTGTGGAAAATGAAATAGGTATTCGTTGAGAATATCTAGGCGTGAACAGATTCTTTTTATTATCTAAAATAAGAGCGACTAATTAATACGTAGCTTTTGTTTCTTTATTATTCATTTCAAAATAAAACAATGCAGAGACGAAAATCATTCCATTTTTAGGCTTTTCTTCCAAATATCTCTCCGGTCTTCATTATAAGTTTTCTTTTGGCCCTGTCATCGCCAAAAGGTAGGCCAGTGGTGGCTTGGTGATTTCTAAGGTGTTTGGTACTTTTACCCTTCACCCAAGCGATTGGGATATTCTGCTTGTTTATTATAAGTTTGTCGTTCTTTTGTGTCATCAATTTATGCAAAATGGCTCCGGATTCATGATCACATGAAGTTCCCGCAGTACAGCACGTTTGATTTTGACCTTCATTCACTATAACATCAACGTCTCCAAGTTTTTTTTATTGGTAACTGATAGTGCTGATGTATGGAAAATCATAACGAATTTTGCATCGCCCGTTTGCACCCGTCTTGGTGTTCCTTCCGCTGTATCAGTAAACATGTTTTTGAGTGGATTAAATGCTTGAAATCGAAACATTCACAAAAATTAATTTGACAATCGAATGTTTTTAAAATCTGATATTGATCAATACAAACCTCAAACGACTGCAACATTTTCGCCATAAATTGTTTTCAATGTATTTCCAGTACGACCAGCCATATGACCGCCTACACCAAATCTTGATAAATATATTGAATCCAAATGAAGCACAGATTTGTTTGAATTGATAACGATTTTGAGGGGAGCCGTTGTCATCTGAAGGATTACCCTTTGCAGTTTTAAAGTCGACTGAAAATGAGAGACATTTTTTTGATAGAAAATATTTTACATTAGTATAATATTCGAAGTGGACATTTTGCTCACGTTTGCTCAGCTCATCATCAGTATCCGCAAAATGTAAGATAATTTTATCTTGATTATCAACCAAACTGAGAATTTTTCTGATCTCAGCATTATAAAATGTAAATTCTTGTTGAAGCATCTTTCTATAGTCAATTTCATAATTTTTGAAAGTCTTGTCACCGTATTTTCAAAATAAGGAAAAACAGAAACAAAATAGGTGTTGAGTTCAAAGAATTGATTTTAGTTTGTCCAATTCTGGAAACGCTATATGTTTGTAATGTGATGTTTTTTTTAACCAACAATTGTGCCTCAATTGTGTTTGTGTCTAAATGTAAACGCAAACACGCGTTGCTTTCTAAACTGGATGTAAGTTTGTGTTCAGTTCGTGGTAGCATAGATGAGCCACTTACAAATGCACTATGATTGGCTGAAAAAAATCAAGGCATTTAAGTACATGGGATTTATCTTACGAATCCTTTGAAACGCATGAGGCCATCATCCATCCAATTTGGTTTGCGCTTATTTCTAAAATAGAATACGATTTTTTCACCTTTACTTAAGACTGACTCAAACTACAGTGAATCTAATATTTTTGGTAGACAAAATTTTGCATGACACACTCCACTCACACGCCATTCGTATATGAATCCTATGTTAGTGGAGAGTTTCTCTGCTTACTTTGCTTGTTATTTTGTCTATCAAAAAATATAGATTCACTGTATTGGGAGAACACTCAGTGTTCTAGACTTTATCTCTATAGAGAATGACTTTCTATAGATACATTTTAAGACACTCACCTGTGGACTGTAACACAAAAAATAATAACGAAAAAAATATTGGGCAACAAAACATGATTAATTAAGCTTAAACTCTTTTCGTTAATTTCACAAGCCAATTTCTTTAAATGTATGTACTAGCTCTGGCTCTTAAACTCGATATCGAACAACTTTTGTAGACATTTTATTTGAGTTGAGCATTCCACATATCATTTCTTTGCGAATTAAGAGCACACATTTCTTGAAATACAAAGTCCAATTTCTAAGCTATTTTCGCAAATGTACACCTGTTTTTTCATCAAATCGCGTTGGTAATATTAAAGACTCGTAAAACATGATCATGAAGTGTGAAAATGTAAAAAGAATACGCGTATTGCAAACACATTTTCAGCTTTTTGTACAAATAACATTGTTATACAGGAGTTTGATATTCATTTTCAAAATGTATCGCTGAACAACCGCCGCTGTTTCAACAAGACGATAAATTCCATATTTCGGTATTTAGTCGCATCGTACTAAGCGTAAGTAACTATCTTTTAATTTTATTCTAAAAATATTATTTCCTTCTGTAAAAAAACGACATCGATCTTTCAATTAATTTTCCCCGACTTTTTTTTTCTTCAAGTTACTGAATTTAACCATAATCAACAACAACATTTTGAAGCGTTCAAAAGTTATCATACCTCGAGCCCATTGCGATTGATTCCTTCTCTTCACTGTTTATACCGAAATGTATGTGAAAAATGAAATATATGTTTGTGTATAGATTGCTGGTATGTACTTGATAAACGTAATAACATCATCGAAATGTAACATACGTTACGAAAGATAATCTTCGTCTTTGGTGACGCGTTCGCAATTCGTTTCAAGTGTAGAAATATCAGCAGCACCCACAGCAGACAAATCCAAAAAAAACGGCAGAGTGAAAACGAAAATGAATCACACGAACGAAGATGGAAACAAAGGAAGACAACGGGCGTATCTAGCAATGGCAAGATATAAAGACACTGTACGGACCAAATAAAAAAAAAAAACAACAAAGACAAAAAAAACGCATTGACTAAAAATTGCAATTGCACACATGATAACGGCATGCTTAGTGTAAATTGAAATGATATTTTCTGTAAAGGAAAGCGATAAACGAACAAAGGCACGACCAAATTAAATAAATGGATAAAACTGAACGAAGTTCGAAAAATCGTGAAGAAAAATGAATTGAATGTGAGGGTGGGGGGAGAGTATAAACATCGACAAAGACGATGCCATATCCATAGTGAAGACAGAAAACATATGGAAAACCTCTGAAAATGTGCATACGTTAGATCCATTGCTTGGATCCAAAAAACACATTGCAAATGGATCCATATTCAAAATGAAAATCTTGCGAGAGCAAGAGAAGTGAAAATAAAACAACACAATCATTGTCGAACAAATTGCTGCATGTGTGTGTACGCCATGACAGTGTCTTCTCATTCTCCGTATGGTTCCTCTTATGGTTCCTGTTTGCATCCGTGCTTCCATTTTTTTCACTACATTTATCCTGTGTTTTAGTTGGGCGCGTGTTGCCGCTTCCATTTTTTTCTTCATTCGGATGGCGAATAATATGAATTCAATTTGTTTGTCAGTTATTGTTGGCAGTTGGCGTTCATTGAACGAACTGAATAGGAGCGATTTTGGTGAGCTTTTTTGTCTCACTCAAAAATCTCTTTTACTTTACAGCCGGCTTTATGGAAAATGAATTGTACGAGATGCTGCATTGTCGCCGCACATGCAATATTCCATTTCTCTTTCGGTTATTTTGTACTTTTTCAAAACTCACACATTTTCAATGCAATGTATTGCAACACCATTCAACACAATATACATACAGTTCGATGCTTTCGTTGTTCATTTTTTCTCTGTCTCTCTCGTTCAACACACTTCCGAATATGTCACGATGAAAATTATCTGGGGGACGGACACAAAATCTAGTAAAATCTAGTTTCATAGTTTACTGCTAATTTTGCTGATATTTTTCTAATATTAATAAAAAAATCTACTATTATTGCTAATATTATTAGCAATTGCTAATATTAGTTCACTAGTATAAACGTCAAACGTCAAATAGCTGATCTCAAAGTGAAATCATGTATGAATTTTTCATAAATTCTTAGATGAACATTTAACATTTTTTTATTTTTCCTGGTTTAGAAAAAATAAAATTTATTTCTATTAAATAGTAAAACACTTAAAGTAACAAAAAAAGTGTTCGGTGAGCAAAGTGCGCAATTCTCTAACAAGCAATGGTGAAGCAAAACAAACTAATTTTTGCTAATATTTTGCTAATATTCCGCTAATATTCTAATATTTATAATGTTGTCCGTCCCCTAGAAAATTATTCATACATATGAGAACGATTCCATATTTCTGTTCATTTCTTTTCCACTTCTGTCGAATCTGTTACACAGTTGTTGTTTTTCTTTTGCATTTGGACAGTTACGGCCATTTGTCGCTTCAATATGGATGCCGATCAAAAGACAATGCACTCAACAACTAAAACAATTGAATCATGTACAAGGAAAAATTATAAATGCAATAAAGCAACATCTTTTTCTTACACACTGAAGTTCATATTATGAACATTTGTTTCATCGAAGCTCACTTTCACCATTTCTCATCTCTCTCTTTCTCTTTCTCTCTCTCTCTTTCTCTTCATTTCTCGCTTTCTCCATTCCACTTTCCTCTTAAGAGCATCAATTTTGATTAAATCCTGTATATAAATAAAAGTGAATCGTTAGTATTTCGAATGTGACAAAGCTTTCCTTCCCCCAAAATAAAAGCCAACACGGGTTTTAATGTCTATATTTCTACATGTAGAAAAATAAGCCCTGTTCTCAATTGGGGAACCCATTGTTCTCAAAAACCCCAAAAAAATGCATTGATTTATAATCACACAACACTTCGAACGTTTTTAAAACCTCAAACGAAAAAAAAAATGTGTGAAAATCTCATGTCGATCTTTGTATAATTTGTAGTAAATGAAATGGCTAGAATTCGGGTACATCGATGATCATCAATTATCAATTGGATAGTATTCGTGCGGAAATGAAAGTGCCCATTTCTTCTTCAGCACAACAATGCAACTGATGAGTGGTGATACAACCCGATTGGATAACATAACAAAACCGAAAAATGATAGTAACATGCAATCTATGCTTTACATTTACATGAACATGGACACGGAATTCACGAATAATTTATGTAATACATTCGAATCCAGTATTTTTCATACTTGGCACGGTTGTATTTCCATCAGGACTCACCACTTTACAATCGTCACCACTCCAATTGTCCCTGTGTGTCCATTGATGAAATCTGCATTGGTCAAAAGTGAGCAAAAAAAATGTTGGCATAAATTCTCTAAATCAAGCTAATCAGTGGAGTATGTCCTTTTCTACAAAAAAAAACTGTGCACTTGTTCGGGCAAAGTGTTATGTGTTCCATTTTTTTTCTCTCGGACCTAATTAATTATTTATAATTTGTTCCAGCATTTTTGCGTTCATTCAAACAAACTTTTTTGTTAAACATTTTCTTTTTCGTTAGCTTTTTATGCAGAATTATATTTACATTTTGCTCGCACAATTTCATATATTGGCAATAGCCATATATGTAAGGCTACTTTCATTCAAAGTCAAACATTATAATAATTGATTCATTCAATCATGTGAATCAAAATGAATGCAATGAAAAAAAAATTGGCAGAAAAGTTGCATATTCGAGAGAGAGAGAGAGAAAAAAAAATTGTCGTGTATAATGCGAAATCAAAATGACATGTCTCATAAGTGCTGAAAACGATATCAATATCGATAGAATGAAATATGATTTCAAATTCGAAGGTGAAATACCATTGAACAGATACAGTGATGCAAGCACATACAGTTCGATACATTCAATTATTGACTGAAAATTGAATGAAATTGGTTTTGAAAAGGATCTGTTGAGAACTCTGTGTATGGGTAGAGTGGCCATTGGTGTTGACATCAAAGATTTTAGAGAGGGTAATGGTAAAAGTGGGAAAAAGTCGATTAAGCTTTTTCCCCGTTTTTCACCGACTCCAAAAAATGTTCGATCCAACTGCAAGTCGATCAATTGAACACACGCATCACTCTCTGACTTGCCATTTTCTGTGATAAGATTTGAATATTAACTTCGAGACAACGAATTATTCAATACTCAGACGTGTAGTTTTTTCTGTCGGAAATCGGAAAATAGAATGAGAGCACACAGCAAAAAAAACCGGTCCGATGGATTTGCAATGCCGTAAGTTGCACATTTCGTTTGTCAAGAAGCGAGCAAAGGTGAACGAGATATTCGTACACATGTGAATGTTATAATAGGATTTTGAAAATTGATTTGATTCTCTTCAGCATATTGAGATTTATGCAATGAACTTCGAAAACTATGCAGTCTGTTAAAGCAATATGATAAAACGGACGTATGAATGTGTGTTGGCTGCATAAAGCAGCATCTATATTGTTTTTCTTAGCGTTTAATGATGCTCACAATGGGTTTGAGTGTGTATGTGTGTGTAGCACATTGAAATTGATGCACAAAAATGAACAATGACAACCAATTTTGATCGAATGCATAATACACTGTATATTTGTTGCAAATGAATTTTATTGAATGCTGAATTGCTGCACATATAGACGCATCAATTTCGTTATGAGATCAAGAAGGATCAGCATACTCACCTTCGTTCATACATTTATACATGATTTTGATTGATTTTCACTTGATTTGGCTAAAAGGTTTTTGTACCTTTTGTACGTTGACACGGAAACGATAAAGAAGTTCATCAAAGACCACATTTCAGCTTTCTTAATCTCTGATCAGTTTTCGATCGTGTGCAATTTTCTGCCTCACTGAAAAATTATTACCCAAAATTGTATGATGTTTAAGTGCCGCTCATAAAATCAATAAAGCGTTATAATCGACAGATTTTCGGCACAATATCAATGAGTGCATGAGAGAAGAAGGGGAGAGAACAATTTTGTGTGAACGCAAACGATAGATTTAGTTATACGATGCGAAAATAATGAAATGAAAGTATAGCGTGTCAAAATGGGCCCGTTTCATTTGAATCCAATCAGTGATTCTAATTAAAAAATGAAAATCAAAAAAAAATTCATTTGTATTTCACATTTTCAGCATACACACACGCATATGCGGGGCAATTTACAGTGGTAACATTGTTGTTGTATATATGACCATTGTTTGCTGTCATTTTCGTTGGTATGGTGAAACCTTTCGTTTCAATTTCGTTGTAGGTGATGGTAAATTCAATTATCCAATCGTTCAATCGGTACAATTATCATTATCATTACGATGCCATCTATGCAATCGGAAATCGATTTTGATGGCAATAACTATCGACATTCGAATACCCAATAACATCGACTTCGATTCAACGAAACCAACGACTGCAGCAATTTCAAAGAATGACATTGTGAATTTGAAATAAAAAAACAGACAGCAACGAAAATAAAACGTGGTCATGCACTGGTTGTTCAGTCTCATTTCTTTTTTTTTTTTGTTTGAGAATGTGTTTGAATGCATCGCATTGTATCTACACGGCCGAACATTGTTGTTTTCCCGAATGGGAAAACTACACAAATAAATATTGATGGCGCAAATGAAAATCATTTTAAATGAAAATGGTGGAAAAAAAGATGGCCAACTGAAACAAAAGCAATTCTCAAATCAAATGATAAAACGGGGCAACATGGGCTTGATTACAGGCACACGAACTAGAGAGCACAAACACACACACACACATCAATAGCAAGACAAATGAATGAAGGGACATATAAGGATTTGCATGCATGCATCAGCATTCACGACACAATAATCGGCCATGCCATTTGCTATTGATATGGCATTTGTAGTGGCGAACAAAGCAAACAAGCTTACACATAACTACATCTCTTTCTCATAGCCACCTCCGACGACGACGACATCATTTGCAACATTTGTGAATTGCAATTTAGCCAACAACGTTCACACGATAAAAGGCACTGTAAATTTTGTGGCGATTATGCGAAAAGGACAACATTAGAACGGTACACAACAAGTGATGTAATACCGTTTCGTTATGTTATGTATCGGTTAGTTGTCAAAAGACCGTATGCTATTAGACGGTGCGTTTTTCCTGCCTCCCTCCCCCATCTCCCGCTCTTCATTCGTTCATATGCTTGTTGCAAAATTTAATCATCGTTTCTCATCGATTGTTCCTCTTGTTCATTGCGATGTGTCGTGCTTCTCGGTGTTTGGTCAATACACTCACACACATACACACTAATCGACGAAAAATGTTGTTTGAATCCACACATCCAATCCCTTTGCTGGCCACGTTGTTCTTTTTTTTGTTGTTGTTCTTGTTTTATTGCAGTTTCTGTTCAGTTGTCAGCTTAAATCGCTATTCGATATCTCCTCCAGCCTGCATAGTATCTATATCACTTTTTTCAAGGTGGCAGGCATTATTACACGCTGATACGATTTTGTTTCCGCAGCTACTAGATTCCATCGGGCATACAATTTAACAGCCATTGAGCCTATTTAATCCCGTTGTATCAATTGAAAACAACATATTCGAATACTTTTGATTTGTTTTGGATTTTCGCAATTAATTGATGCTCAAGTGTCAGTCAATCGACAGAAACGAATTAAATTTTAATACATTACACGAATAAGAAAAAAAAAACAACAACATTTATTTATACATAGCATAAATGGCATTTTTCTTTGGAAAAACCTTATTAAGTGAAATAAAAAAAAAAACAATTGCGATTAACGAGAACATTAAATGCATTCACACTTTGAAATCGTGGAGCAAGCGATCGAACGGAAAACAATATGCAAATTAAAGAATTGTCCACATGTTTTTAAAACCATTAGAAGTCTGATTGGATTATTTTAACGTTGTATTATACGCTCATTGATCACGAAGCCATTTTCTGCATACCGCATTTTCATATTGGTCGCCATGCACGCACACACACACACACCCATCCGGGGGTGGTCCGGGTGACATCAATTCAATTAATTCAACTGAAATCAATAATATGTTTACTTGTGTGGCATTAAATTCCATAAGCCTATTAGCCGTCGAAAATAAATTACCATGCGTTTTCTGTTCGACGAAAACAAAAACCAGGCGAATTGCTCACACGTTCCACATAATTCCTCTGCGAAAAAGAGAGCATTCCAAATTCGATTGAGTAATATGTACAAATGCGATTGAAGTGAAATGAAAGTTTTTTTAAAATCGGGTGTAAAATGAAGAAGTTTCTATTTCATCAGTTTTATTGACATTTAGACGAAAAATTCGGTCGAATCAACGTCAAAAAAAAATCGTACACATACAATATCATATCGTACTTTTCTATCAAAAACTTTCAAGACATCAAGAGCTCAAACTATCGAGTTTTTTTATTGTTATTGTACGTAAGACTTTTTGTATCATATTACAGTATGAGAAAAACTAGAGACTCTCTGGTAGAGAGAGAGAGAGAGAGAGAGAGAGAGAGAGAGAGAGAGAGAGAGAAGGAGAGGAAGCGAGGGAAGGAAACAAACTTTGAAATCGTCAAAGTTACGGTAAGTTTTTCAATGAACGTAACGAAAACATTGCAACGAATTTCCAACAAAACAAAACACACACACACAGTTGAAAGAAGATGCGAGAAAAAACAAATTCATGGGCTTATACAGTTGCTTCTTACTTCGACTGATAACGATATCCAACAAAGTGAGTATCAAATACTTTTTGCTGATTGAAAAGAGAATAAAATGAATGTTTATCCCTCTTTTTCTCCGTATTTCTTACGATTTTCTTTCGATTCATCACGCTTTCATTCAATTGAAGAGATATTTTCTCTTGTTCGCTGTGTGCCGAATGAATTGAGTTCCGTTTTTAAATGAATCACATCAATTATAAAGATTAAGATTCATCAAAAAAAATATGGGAGAGTATTTGCAGCCAAACAATTGATTTGTTCCGTTAGTCGTTGGTCAACAATTGATTATCTCCAGTGAGCAGAGATGGTTGAATGTTCATGTGATTTTTTGATGATAGAATCGACGCAACTTCGTACTACGAATTGATGATTATGATAATGTATTTTTCTTCTGATAAAAAGTAAATAAATCAATAAACGATTGTGTTTAAAAGAAATGACAACCAACGAACAAAAAATCGCCGGTGTTTATTCGATGCAGTTGATTCAATTTCTTCGCTTTTGTTGACACATTTCACACAATTTTACGTTGTAAAAAAAAGAAGTTGGCATTTATGTTTCGACGGAAACAAAAAAAAAACCACGAATGATTATTATTGATATTCAATTAAGTGCATCGTGTTCGTCCAAAGTTCTCTACATCGCGCGATTCCTGTAAATAAAAAGGTTGATAGTAATTCGGGCAACTGAACGAGGAACGAAAACAAAAAATTTGTATAAAGTAATTGAATAAAGATTCAGATGATCTGCACGATCCAATAGCAATGTAATTCTGTACCACTCTAGCATATGCTCACCTCTAGTTATGCAATATTTACCACCACCATCATCATCATCATCATATTTGTCCAATGTGAATGCATGCAAATTCCAACGGAATATGCATTCAATGGCGGAAAAAAAATCTATTATTTATACATGCATTGAATGAATAAATGTAATGTAAGGTAATATAATTTTAATTTCATTTTCCCATGGCTTGATAAATTGATTTCTGATCAGCGAAAATTAATTAAAACGTACAAAGCATCCATTAATTCTGGCCAATCAATTTTATTTTGCATTTTGAGCACATTTATGAGCATAAACATTTTCGAAGCGTATACACGCAAACACAGAGAGAGCGAGCGAGCGAGAATGAGAGAGAGGGGGGGGGGAGAGAGCTGAAGCGAACGAATATAACGGTCATAATATATCATAGCAAAACTTATGTGCTTGCATGCATACACACAGTGTGCTTTTGCATTTTGGCCGTGGAAGCAATGGGTGCCGTTCATGACAAACCTGATTCGCTCGGTGATGAATGAAGGGTTAAACGTTCGATTTTATACTCTGTTGAAAGACGGCATCGTCATGCACATGCATGTGTAATATACATATTATTATGTATTTTGCCACATTAGTAAGCATATTTCATCTGTATGTGTTCTATTTTTTTTTTTTAAACAACAACTGCCTTTTTTATTATACACACCGACCAATTTTACTATGCACAAGTACGGCTTGAAATTGAATTTGACCAACCAAAAAATCGTCGGATAAAATTTATATAAAAAAATGAACTTTAGCCAACATGATTTTTGATAGGGATATAATTCATTTGAGAAATGAATTTTACCCGAGCTAAACACCGTCGGATAAAACTGAGAAAAATTTGTGCGTCGGTTAAAATTCATTTTAGATAATGAACTTTATCCAATGTTTGATAAAATTCAATCTATGCATCGGGTCAAATATCATTCAGTCCTCAAGAACAACACACTAGCAACGAGCGAGAGGCATACAAATTGTTGCGTACATTCGTGATGTAAGGAGAGCGCTTGTGAGACTTTACATCAATAAAACAAAGACCATTTTCTGTTTTCTAAATAATTACGATTTTACTAAATACTTATTTCATAACAGATACATTTGAACAGAGAAAATCTTTGTAATAATCTGTTCTCGAATTGAATTTGAAAGTCAAATTGAGTTGGGTAACATTGAGCACATCGATCAATTGTCATAAACAAAGGTTATTCAGATTTTCTGAAAAAATTAAAGGAAAATTCGAGAGCATTAGTTAAATCTTAAACAGTAAGAGATTTTTTTTAATCTTTTTATGACATTCAGGAAAAAAACTTACACAAAATCTGTTAATAACGTTTTACGTTTCGCAGTACTTGTCCAATTTATTGCAGATATTCTCAGATGTATCGGAACTTCCTGCAGCATTGCAAAGATATTTGCTATCATGTTTATTACACAAAATACGTTGCACAGAGTTCGGCATAGATTCATCACAATGACAACCATTTTTTTTCAATTCTCCTATTATCGATTTGCAATCATCGCAGCTTATTTCTGATTTGATAGCTGTAAAGAGAGAAAACACAACATAAATACGTAAACTAAAATTTACTTAAAAAAATATGAGAGTATTTCTAGTTAATAATTTCAAATACTTGTGCTATTCGCACAATGCAATTATTTAAATTAGTTATTTTACCGTTACTGTCATCTTCGTAAGTTTCTTCATAATCATCTGCGTCATAAATGTAATCTTCTCCGTCTACAGTAAAATTCTCTTCATCGTCTTGAGAAGCAACCTCTTCTTCGCCATGAGAACAATGAATGACGAATGTCAAGTAGAGAACAGCAAGCAAAAATACAAAATGTTTCGAAGCCATCGTTTCGATATTGACTGTTTTCCCAATACTAAATGGATGGTCAAATGTTTTATCTTATATACCCACGAAATGATATCATGTACAGCCCCTCTCAAGAATCAATCTTGGTTAATAATTTTTTTGTGTATTATCTTTTTTACTTATATTTTTATAAAATTATGCAAATAAATCAAATTAAACTGTTCTGCGCGAAAGTTATTTCGGTTCTGCGAAAGTGGTTTCATCAAACTTATAATTTTATACATTGTATTTTGGCTGTTAACCGGTTTTTTATACACTAAAGTTGTCTGCTTATATCGAAAACCAATTCCACGAAAAACCAATTGTTTGTGTTGTTCTACTATTTTTGTAAGGTCACTTTGAATGTCAATATTCATTTGCAAAATTACGTTTGGATATTTCCTATCAATCATTAAATGATTTCATTTCTCAAGAAAAGCAATTCAATCGAAAATCAATTGATTTGCATGTATTTTATTGTCATCATCTGACTTCAATGTGATTATGTCGAACATCTATTTGTATGCGTCCAAGCATCGATAGTAACACAAATGTTGATCAAATTATATTTATCATTTCAACTGATGGGTAAATGCAACATGGTTGATTTGTGCATTTCTGATCTGTGTCTATCGTGTTCACCGAAGCGTTTTTCAAATGTTCATGCCAAGTGTCCATCATCATCTCTTTTTTTACATCACAAATGAAGTATGTTTACTTTTGAATGGATGTTGACATGATTTGATGCAATGATGCATTGTAAACTGTAAAGTGGCTCAAATGATGATTGCCCATTGATTTTTATTATCACATTTTTATTTGAATTTATGCATCGTTTCCCACTTTTATCGAAATTTAATTCTCTCGAAAACTATTTGTTTGTAATCAATATGCAAATTTTGTCTATTGTCATAGATTGTTTGTTAAATTTTAACATAATTGATAATAATAAGTCATAAAAGTTAATAATTGTTATCAATTAATTATTTTAATCAGTTATTTGCATGCTATATGATGTGTTGATTAAATTGATTATATTAAATGTTGGCGTTCGCATCGAATTTACTTCGCTAATTTTCATTAGACAGAGCAGTGGGTGGATGGATGTTTTTATTTGTCAAACGGTTTTCCATTGATTTGTGGCATCTATTGTATCCATTCATATTTCAATTTGTTGTCCAATGGGGTTACAAAGAGACATCAAATCATATTCATCTCTCTGTCTATCTTTTTGCCGAAATCATCTCATTAATCGCGATGACAAAAACCGACAACCAAAAAACAAAACCAATTCGTTTTTTTTCTTTCATTTTATTGTTGATCGGTTGAAAATTGATTTTTGTACTCAATATCGCCTTGAATTGAAAAACGGCCAGAATAGTTTGCACAGATAAAAATATATAGACAAAAGAATGATTTTTCACTTCATTCAAGCCAATTTCTTATTCGTCGAATTTTAGTTTGAGTTTGTTCAAAAGCATTTTTTTTAAAGGGAAGTGCAATCAATTTTCTTTGTCGCCCGTTCAATTTCCGGGGTCAAAGAAAACAATAACATGGTGAATTGCACGAAAAGAAATTGACAAACGACAAAACTGTCCTTAGATAATATAGGAGAAAAAAAGCCGAAGATGAAAACGCGTAAGTATAAAATGAGGAAAAGATTATACACGGTTATACTGAGTCGCAGAGCAACGAAAAGAAGACGAAGAAGAAAAAAACGGTCGACCGACGACCAGAAACCAAACTCATATAGACAATGTTGTGATTTGTGATAAAATTACCAACTCAAAGCAGGTTGATTGCACTACTATTATAATTTAATTGTCTCGCTTATATTTCCGTATTCAGGCGAAGATGTGCAGTACGCGCGCGGTCAGCATTATCGTTGGAATGAACAAAAAAATGGGTAAAATAATCATTGTTTTATGCTTTGGCAACATAGCTTGGTTGGTGCACATAAGATTGCCACATCAGAAGATAAGGACAACCGACCACATTCAACGAAAAAAAAAGTCTGCCCATTCTCAATTAGCTAAAGTAATTAAAATATTTGTAAGGATTCTATATTTTATCCGCTTTATTTTATGCGGTGTGTTTTTGTTGGCCGCTTAAAGTAGTAAAAGCGATTATGAAAAAGTTTTTGGTGAACAAGCAAGAGCTGAACGAGAGAAAAAAAAGAAAATAGATATGATCAGATGATGTTGACGATGATGACGACAGTGGATGGGCGAATAGTGTTGATGGAAAAAGAGTTGAAATAATTTCGAAAATTTTGGTTGATGCATGCGACGCAGCACATCAATTTCAGATGTGCGGATGATGTTGATGATGTGCGGATGATACAACGAACCAGTAACTATGATGGGTAATTAACGCGATTTGCTGGTAGCGAGTGTTTTTGGCCGATTATTATTATATCCGGCAATTTCATGTTCTCTAAATACCCCAAGTATATTCGAATATAAAAGCCTTACTGTCAAGTGGACATTTAATGGGATGAGCTCAGTGAAACATGCTTAAATCCGATGCTACAAAGCTATTCAAAAAAAAAGAAAATTTAATAATAATAAGATGTTAAAATCAGTTCGGTACGTTTCGGTCGCCGTCTCGATGAATTGATTTGAATAAAATGAGAAATGTTCGTTTGCCTCTCATAGTGACAGGCATACGCGACCATGTGAAAATCGGATATGGTGAAAAATAAATGATATGTTAGACTGTAATAATGATGAATCTGTAAAAATAATATGGTGCATTTTGGTGTATGCTGCACACACACACACACATGTGGCAGTTGTATGCTTTCATAGTTTAGTGCTGCACATGTTCATCACCAGTCGCGTAAACGTTTTGTCGCTTGAACTTTGTGATGTGACTTGAGAGTAATACGGGCAAGAGATGTTACGTTTAGCATGGCATGCATCCAACAGGAAAGAAAAAATCCATATATAAGAAACATACAATGTTATAGAAAAGTGTTGCTCTGTCTTCGTTGCTTCGTCACTACCGTTTCGAGATTGAGTGGAAATGAGCACCGCTTTTTCTCTTTGCCACTCATTTTTCACTCTCTCTCCCTCTTGCTGTTTCTTTTTTTTTTCTCTCTCTCTCTCTCTCTCTCTCTCTCTCTCTCTCTCTCTCTCTCCGTTTCTTTTTTATGTAGTGATTTAAAAATGTTGAAGGCCATGAAGTTCAGCACAACCTGAAACGGCTTGCGTGACAATCACCGAGAATAGATCAATAGAAAGTGTAAAATAAAAACAGGCACCAAATGAAATCAACAGAACTAAAAGTCGGTGTAAGGTTGTGATACTTTTGTTAGTTTTACTTGGACTTTGCACCATATAGAAGTTCAGTTGAATGAAAAGCATCCAAACACGTTGAACAACAATGTATCTTATTGCGTTTGATCGTTGGCTGTGATGGCATTTGAGATATTGGTGTTTGCTGTGCTTTTCTAACACAGTTCATGATACAAAACGCCTTGAAATTTCTCTATCTGCCGTTTGGTTCGATCATAGTGTAGCATCACTCTTCCTCTCATTCGCTCCCTCTCTCTCTCTCCTTTCACCGCATCTCTTTGGGCACTTTAATCGTATTGTGTGCGGGCCCGTGTTCAATGAACGTTCAGCCGCCAATGCCAGCACTTTACCAGATACCCCCCAACAATTGTGAACCATTGTAATAACAGCACATAAAATAGATATATTATAAATTATAATTGAGAATAGCGTGCACAAGCGGAAAATCACTAGTCCATGAAATTGGGAAAATTGTTCAATAAAATCTTTTTTTCAATTCAATTCTATTCCAAGACAAAATGATCGAAAAAGAGGTGAAACTACAACAAAAATGCACACATGAGGGACAAGAGAGACAGAGATAGAGAGAGAAGGAGAAAGCAAGCCCCAAAATCTCATAATGTATGAACACTGGAGTAGACACTCCAATGATGTCGATGTGCATACCAAGTGCATACTATTGGCAATGTGAACGGGAATTACATCGCGATAAAATGGAATGGGTGAAAAAGGAAGCGCGAAAAATGTTCATAGAGTGCATAAAAGTAACGACCTATGTCTAAATAAGACCTTTTGCCAAATGCATTATATTACATATATCATTTTGGAAAATGGACGCGAAACGCATACCGGCTATATGCATACCGAACACGACAGATGCAGATAAAAACATTGACAGATATAGTGACAATTACATCGTTCCATCTCGCTTGCATGCGTTCATTGCCAATGCTGTGCCTGTCGCGCTGATGATGACGACGACGATGATAATGATGATGGTGTGGTGTTGGTGATGATGGCGGTGGTGTCATCACACACCGAATCATACCAGAAGTATTCGCTATTTGTTGTTTGTTACAGCAATGTTAATACCCGACAGCTTGCTGTACCGTGCTTCATTGAAAAAGAGTTTTCTTCAATTCGAATGTAGCCAACAACCAAGCGGATAATGAACAAGCAAAGATTAATTTTTATTGTGCACATTTGTGCAATGTTGCAAACGCGTAAAAATAATTCCAATTTCCGAAATCGTTTACAGTTCGCGTCATTCTTTGCATGCCTTCTCCACATCCACCACCCCACATCCGATTCGTTTTGTTTTGCGTTCGCGCCGCGTAAGTATTTGAATGAAATTTATTGGCCAAAAATGCACTCACTCTCCATGCCACACAGACAAACACCACTTTCTCTTCTCTGTAAACTATTTGAACAAACCAAATGAGCATTGAATACAATCTTATTAAATTGATGGAAAAGAAAAGATAAATGTTCAAACTGCTGACTGAAAATTCCATTGCACGTATTCGACGCGCAAGTAATAATCTTTTGAGAAAGTTTTCGCTGCACATAAATAATTGTGAACGAAATGATGAGAGAGAGAGAGAGAGAGAGAGAGAGAGAGAGAGAGAG